TTCTGTAAAAATTTAAATGAGCTTACATTTTGTGTTTCTGAATCGAACCCCATGATTTTTTTCGTGGTGCTTTTCCATGCTATTTAAAGTTGGTTCAGGACCACCGTGAGCTTTATCAATTTATAAAGTGACAGTACCAATACTCGACCATCTGTACCCAGTTTCCAGCAACTTTTATTTCAACTTAAATTAAAAAAAAATTTGGTGATCTATAGTGATCTAAGCAAACCCTTTTTTTTCCTTTTGTTTTTTTAAGTGACTTTTTCCAATTCTACTGTAAAACCCATGGAACGAGTAGATATCAATTTGGATAATTATTATAGATTTTGAATTTTACACAGCTTAAAAAACTGGCAACTAGTACATAGATTCAATACAGGTATAACAAAAAATGGATTTTTTCGACCCAAAACATTGGTTACTTCCCTTAAGACCTTATAAAATCGCTCAAAATGCTACCTTCCTAAAATACGTCCTTATTACATCTTATTTACCATTATTTCAATATAAAATATATTGAATTATAAAATAAATAGAAATATCAATATAAATTCAATATAAAATATATTGAAATATCCATTTTTGTATGAGGATTAGAATATTAATTTGTACGTAAGAAAATTTCTTTCTTCTGCTGATTCTCGTTCGAACAATATATTTAATTTTGTGAGTTAGAGACTTTCAAACTTTTTCAACTTTGTGCATGATTCCAAGAAAACAGATGGATGAAATTTAATTTGAAGAGAGAGAGAGAGAGAGCTAAGTTTTTTCTTTCTATAAGGTTTACTTGCTGTCCAAACATGAACCCATGTAAAAATTTATGGACATTAAGGGGGCCAGCTGGAGTTTTTCCTGTAAATTTTAAAATCCTGATTGAGTAATGAAAACATGATAACTTTTTAATTTAGTGACAACTTTTTGAAAGTAGAGTATAAAATTAAGTAATTTATTCACTTACGAATACCAAAAGTCACATCAGGTACCTACAACAATCGTATAAACCATAATGAGTGAAAAGTGCTTTGCCGCAGACTGTAAAAAATTATGCTTGGGCTAGATCACTCTAATCGAATGGATTCTACTCCTTATTTATGCCTTTACAAGATAAGTGAAGGGTTTTCCTAAAAAATAATGCCTTCATTATTAACATGTTCCATTTATGGTCACTTTCTATAATTATTATCATTTTTTGTTACAAATAATTTATTATTTCAACTTCAACTTACTTTTAGCAAAATCCCTTCACTTGTTCCTTGGAAAATATGTATTAGAATATATGCACCAAATTTCAGCCCAATCGGTTCAGAACTCTGGTCAAAATCCTACGGCCAAGGTGTTTTCAATGTTTCAGATCATACATTTTATATATGTTCATCGTCGTCAGTATCTATCGAATCATAAAATTAATCTAAAGAATATTGTATGAATATCATAGTGAGATTGAATAATATTTAAATTATATACTTCGGAATTCATAATCGGTTAAATTCGCCTCGATATTTTCTTTTTCACTATCTATAGCACCATAAGCTGGTGATTTACCTAAAATATACAAAAAAGCTTAGTAGGTATTCCATCTCGATTTGTAATAACTATCGCTTCAATTTTGAGTTTCAATGTTCATACAGCAAAAATGTATTCTAGGGCCATACTCACAAAGACGCGTGTCTTAAAATTGGCAGAAATATATTTTTTTCGAATGCACAGTCTATGAAACTTTTAAATCTGATGATAGATTATAGAACCATATAAGTAACCTTTTATTTAATTTTTTAGAGATCCATACTAGCGCCGAGTTTACGGAATTCGATGAGAAAAGAGGAATTTTTAGTTCGCTCCATGATTCGGTCGTCGCTAGATATTACGACCAAGAATCATCGGAGGAGTACGAAGGAAGTCCTCTGAAAAAAAAGAAAACAAAACTGCAGCAAGCAGTAAAAATCAGGATTTGAAACAACAGCAGTTGGTGAGTTGAAAAAAAAAAAATTCATAAATTTCCAAGTTTGTAAAGCTCATAAACAAGTTCGACTCCTGATCTGATCATGCGAATAGCGAAAATTCAATCCTTGAATATATCCGGAGCTACTCACTATTAAATTGTAGCGAACTTTCAAAATGCTTATTTAATGGAAGTCGAATGAATCAGATATAATAACTATTATAATATATTACTACTAATTAAGATAATAGAAACTCAGTTTTATTAGAGTTCGAATTTGAGTTTCTATTTCGTAAAGTATTTTTTTTTTCTGTTAACTATTTGAATGCTGTTGATGATTTCAGAGTTGCCACAAAAACGCACAAAAAGAAGTGATGGAAAGATTTATACGCACTAATACACTATCGTTGCCTTTGAATAGCGAGCAAAACAAGCCAAGCACTTCAACAGCAGCTGTTACACCACCGTTGGTGGCGATGGCTCATGATTCTACAGCTATAAATGATCGGATTAAAGAGCTTGAAAGAGAGATCGCATCTCTACGTGAGAGCAAACAAAAAATGAAAAACTCTTTGCAAGTAATAGAAGAAAGATTAGAAACTTTCCAAATAATGAATGAAAGATTGTAGATAAAAAATTTGCGCCTGGAAGAACTTGTAAAAGAATTGAATAACGGTAGAAAATCTGTATTTGAGGTAATTTTTTTAATATCCTTCTTAAGAAATAAGATGGCTTGGAAGTGAAGTTCTTGTATTCGTAAAAGTAAGGTTGAGGCACGCGTAAATCGCGTTTGACTGTGCAAGAATTTGTCGATTTCCACATGGGAGACCATCCATTTTTTCAAAAAACTGTTGAACCGCGAACATTGCGCGTTGTCGAACTCGTGTTAGAGCTCATTTCAAAGTCATTCTAAAGTCATAACTATTTCACTAATTTCATCGTCATCCTTGGATAATTTCCGTCTTACATTCAAAATTAAATATTTTCAGATTCAAAACTACTTAATTTTCATGCTAAATGTTGAGATAATTTTAAACCAAAAATGAAATTTGCATTAATGATTCATTCCCTTACCAAGGCACTGTGGCTGACAAATAAGACAAAAATCAGCTACAGTTTCCTGTTAGCGCTATGTTTCGAACCTTATGTGTGTGTGTGTGTATATACGCGCGCGCGTGCGTGCGTGTGTGTGTGTGTGTGTGTGTGTATAATCAATAAATATAATAATCAATTTATTGACGAATTTATGTTTTTAAATGACTATATTCTCAAGCAACAGCTGCAGACAAACCTACCTAGTATGACGCCTACGCCTAAAAAGAACGATGAGGATATTCTGGAGAAGATTGTAGGCGACAAAAGTACACTATCCACTACAAATATTGATTTTTGTACATCACAAAACAGTCGCGAAAGTTCTGCAGAGGAAGGTAGACGAGATGAATCGATACAAAATATGTACAATGACTCTGGAAGATCTACACCAAGAAGAGCATTTGAGCACAATTACGGTGCAGAATCATCAGAAATTTTTAATTTGGATGATGAATCGATGTCTCCGGAGATGCCTAAATCAAGAGCGAAAAGTAATAACAATATAAACAATATTTTCACATATCATTTTATAAGTCAAAAATACTTTCCGCTAATAAGTAAACGGTGTATTGAATTTTATAAATCTGTTGAGAAAATTTAATATGGAGCGTTACCTGGAATAGTGTTTGAATTGTCACAAGGATTTCCATGGTTCCTATGGCATTTTGAATGCTTTTTCGATAATAGAAGAAACTTGACTTAAGCACTTTGACTCTTTGTTATAACGTTACAGATTTTTTTTGTCAATTTCCGCCAGGAAACCACCTTAAGGGGGCTAGCCGATGTTAAACACTGAAAATTAAAAATTTTCATTATTCCGGTGTAAAAAAATAGTTCTTATAAAGATACAGACGTGGGACTTTTTTTCAGCTTAAAGTACTCTGAATAAACTTTGATTTTCTTTGTTACAAGATCCAAAGTATTTATTGTACACCTAATATGGACACAACAAACACCAAGCTATATTTTTCGAAAAATTGAGTTTTGCCAGCTTTTCTGAACACCAGAGTAAACGAAAATCATTTTGGGAGAGCTCATTTTCTTCGTTGTGAACCGGATTATAGATTATGTGGAGCATTTTTCTATAAAAATTGATTCTTCCTAGTTTTTTCAGCCGATATATGAAAATTTATTGTTAGAAGAAATATATTTTTTAGGAAATAATCTTAAAAAAATAGTTGGAATCAATTTTTTTTAAAGTGCTCCACTTAATTCATAGTCCGGTTCACGACGAAGAAAATGAGCTCTCCCAAAATGATTTTCGTTCTCTGTTGAGTTCAGAAAAGTGTGACAAAGCTCAATTTTTCGAAAAATAGAGCTTGGTGTTTGTTGTGTCCATATTAGGTGTACAATGAATATTTTGGAACTTGTAACAAAAAAAATCGAAGCTTATTCAGAGTACTTTAAGCTGAAAAAAATCCCACGTCAATATCTTTATTAGAACTATTTTCACACCGCAATAATGAATACTTCAAATTTTCAGTGTTGAACACCGGCTGGTCCCCTTAAACATCCAAAAGGCATGTACCAGTACACTGATATTTGTCGGTTAATAGCTGTTACTATTAAAAACGATGAAAATTAAGACACGTTTTTTGGGTTATTAGGTTATTTCTGTATTTTTTTTCTTCTTGATCGTGCGAACGGAATTCTCGATAAGATGTAAGATGGTGCTATCCAATATGGCGTCATTTGGATTTGTAATACGGTTCAGCAACGCCACAACGTGGAATGATGTTTCTGTTATTGCATTATTATAATTTGAATGATTTAAACGATTCTAAAACGTGAGCTCCGTTTTCTAGTTGACTTGCTGCATTTCGGAGTAAAGATTTTCCTGATTTTATTAGGATTTGTTTTGGGTGAAAATGTATCTTTTTATGCTGTTCGATCATTCGGGATGAAAATCTGCAATACCCCACTATAAACGAATATTTATTATGTTGATATTAAAAACTTCTTGTAGGAAAGATTACATACAACACATCTCCAGATATCAACAAACAACCGCGAACACAGCATGTCAAGGAAAGTGATTCCGGACTTGAAGATGGCAGGTCACTTTCAATAGGTGAAGATTGTAGCTCACAAAGCTCTGCTGTTCCGGCAGTGAGTCTTCGGACCAAAGAAGTTGCAATGTTTACGCGCAATTTGTTTAAAAATTCGAAAAATGCGGCAAAAGATGAACAAGAAAATGAAATGGATGAAGAGGCCAATAAAATGACGGAATATTTTTCAAATTTTGGGACAAAAACAACCACAATAACTGAAGGTGTTACAGTGAGTTGAATAATTTTATAATATTTTGTAGTAATGCGCCATGAACTCAATCAATTTTCCATGTACAAACACCTAAAATTTGAATATTTTCACGACTAGACTAGCGAGTACAGGCCGTAGTGCCATCGCTAGGGCAGGCCGCCACCGATAACAACTGTAGGCTCATTTGCATTTTCCGCGGCGCGCCTGCGTCCGCCGACTCACTGGCCATTGACCAAAAGAGGGGAGCCTTGCGGCTTGGCCGCGGAAGCTCTGCCATCATTATATTCATTTTCCGTTATAATCTCAACGTTCGCGGACGTGATCTCGCGTCTCTTCAGCCACATGTCCGTACGTTGAGAGAGTTACAATTTTGTCGCGCCTCGTCGTCGCGATCAGCAGTAGACTAATTAATTGATACGTTGCCCGAATACTGCGAAAATTACGTGAAAACCAAACCACCAATCGTGATTTCGTCTTTGCCTTTTTCGGAGCAGGCTCGCCTTTTGCAATCCATTGTTTTGACTATTCTTTCGTTTCAGGAGTATAGTGATGGAACCAGGTTTCATCTGCAGTTATGAATCGTTGCAAAATATCGGACTCGTTTTGCATAAACCGCGTCAATAAGGCCTTGGAAATGTTCGTTCGAATGCGTTTTTGGTCCAAAGTGAGCAAACACGGCACCCAACGCGCGGTTTTTACGCATGCCCAATTCTTCATTCAGTATATGGCAAATTCGTTTTTTTGATATACCAAGAGCCTCTTCTATCTCTCTAACCTTAATTCGACGATCGTCCAATACCATTTGGTGAATTTTTTCAATGTTATCGCTGGCTGTCGCAGTTTTTGTTTGCCCTGAACGCTCATCACCAGCCAAGCTGATACGACCACGTTTGGATTCGGCTGCCTAAAATTTTACGATCGTACATGGAGGTGCAGAATCTCCGTACACAGTGTCCAACTTTTCTTTGATTTGCGTTGGCGTATTTCCTTTTAAATACAAGTATTTAATGACAGCTCGATACTCAAGTTTTTCCCAATCTGCACAACGACTCATTTATCTGGTTGTTAAGTAAAAACTAAGTGTCCAAAATTGCTGAAATTTTGCTGAGAATCTCCCAAGACATGTGCATACATATATCCCAATTTATATAGATAGGGGCTGCCATCTTCAGGTTGAGGTCGGAAACTTTTCAGACAACCCACGTATATCGCCCATAGGGCTCATAGCACATATATCTATATCGATATATATTATCTATATCGATTTATATCAGTACAATTTATAATTGAGTTTGATTTTGCATCAACCCTTAAAAAGTTACTCATCGATAACCCAATAATTAAATTTGCATTACTCGTTTTGATTCCAAAAGCAATGTCAAAAGCTCTTTTTTTCCAGATTACATACATCTGGTTGAACAAGCATTTCAAAATGCCTTATGAAGATTGGAAATTGCTTCTCAAATCGAAAGACGAAAGAAAATTCATGAAAGGAGTTCTTCGAGCTCTTCATTCGCAAGACGGTGATTACACAAAGCTGCTGAGTACAAGATGTGTGTCAGCCAAGCCGTCTTACACACCAAGAGGAAAAAATATGCGAAAGAAACTCTACAAGTTCGAGCTTATGACAATCGAAAGCAAGTATATTTCGAATATTTCATCATCTCGGTTCTCGTATTTGACAATAATGGATTACCCGATCGATTTACAGAATGTTTGAAATATTATTGCAAGAAAATGAATATTGACGAAGGAAAAATGAAAAAAATTCTTTAAAAAAAATTATTATTTAACAGAAGAGATTAATTATTGCATAAAAATGCAAAAGAAAACGTCCGGTGAGCGTACAAATGAAGACACTGATATTGAGACATGAATATTCATATTAATAATATTATTAATAATTTCTTACTATTTAACTTATTTGTTTAACTTATTTGCCATGTAACATTATTTATTTATTGAACCAAATATTTTCTTCTAAATAAAATTATAAGCGATACTAAAATGCCTAAGATTTTTGTTACTCGTTGTTAACGGATGATTCGATCTGGATTCCTAAAAAGTCCATGTTGGATGACCCGTACAACTACCTACATTTCCTACAAAAGCCATGCTGGGTCACCAAAAAATTGACCTGGATTTTCTGAAAAATCCATGCCGGAAAATCAAAAAAAACCACCTGGATTTCCGGGAAAATCCATGCCAGAAAACCAAGGAACACGTGGTTTTCCTCGAAAATCCATGCCGGAAAACAAAAAAATCCACCTGGATTTCCTGGAAAATCCATGCCGGAATACAAAAAATCCACCTGCATTTCCTGGATAATCCATGCCGGAAAACCAAGGAATCCACGTGGTTTTCCTCGAAAATCCATGCCGGAAAACCAAGGAATCCTCCTGGATTTCCTAGAAAATCCATACCGGAAAACCAAGGAATCCACGTGGTTTTCCTCGAAAATTCATGCCGGAAACCCAAAAAATCCACATGGATTTCCTTGAAAATCAACGAGAAATCTACCTGGATTTTTTAAGAATTTCCACCTGGATTCCACGTGGATTTCCATACTCGATTTCCAGCTGGATTTTTTCAATAGGGTCCCCAGACCTCCTCTCTCATAGTGGCAAGGGCTAGTTTTGAGACAAAGATAATTTAATTCTTTTTATGTTGTGAGCGTGCAAGGCTCAATTTTTAAAGTTTTAATTTTTATTTCAAATTGTGAGGAAGGATTTCAATTTTTAATAAAAGTAAGTCTAAATTTAATTTATAGAACACATAATTTCCTTTTAGTAATCTTTCTTTAAATTAATTTTCCCAATTCCGTATCGCTCGGTCCTCTTGTTGCAAAACAAGTTGGATAGAATTGATATTTAGTTTAACACTCAGAACTTGGATCAATAGGATCTTTATAAGTTTGAGTGGAATCTATAGTCAATTCTCTGTGCCTTCTGAAAAGATTGGCGCTAAAATAATCGATTTAGATTCAGGGATTAGATAAGCACTGGCGCCGTGCACGTCAAATTTTCTGTATTTTAGCTAACATCAATCTTTCCTTACCCGGGTAAAGTGAGAAATCACAGCCGAAAAAGATTAAAAATTCACGCCTCACAATTAGTGAGACGTAACACTATTGTTGAGTTAGTTACATTAGTATTTTTTTCTAATGGGAATCCCTATTTTTGACCACGGATTCGCACATAGCGCGAAACTCAACATAATACCTTATCCAAATGTTGGATTTCGCGCTATGTGCGAATCCGGGGTCAAAAAGAGGGGTTTCCATTACAAAAAACACTTCGACCTTGAAATGACCTTCAAAATGAGGTTAAAGGTCAAAGATTTTTGGTGCATTCGGTGGCTCACTCTGTTCTGAACAAATTTTGTAGAGGTCATTTTTCGATATCATAAAAATTAAAAAAACGCTTTTAGGTAGTTTTTCAAGCATTTGACCATAAATCGACCTTCTCAAGGCCATGAAAAAGAAATTTTAAAATACTGTTTTGGACGTAAAATTTCCCGCTCTTTCCGAAGCCGGTGTCAAAAATAGGGATTCCCATTTAAAAAAAACAATTCGACCTTCAAATGACCTTGAAAACGATGTTCAAGATCAAAACTAATTATACAGATAGATGGCCCCCTTTATCTTAAACAACTTTTATCTGAAACATTTTTCACAAAAACACGAATTTTCGATTTTAAAATGGCTGTACGGATGGTCTGGAACACTCGGTATATACAACATTCGATAAAGTCAACGTTGAATGTCATTATTGCAAGATGCGAGGCTATGTAATAGCTGATGGTTACAAAAAAAAATTGGATGAATTATATGAAACAAAATCAAAACCAGAGAAATGATCAACGGTCCTCTACGAATATCCCAGTGCAGAGGACGAATATAACCCGGGTAGAGATAGGAGAAGAAACGGAAGAGATACGCCTATACCCATAAATAATGTTTGCTGCAAAAGTTCCAGTAATTAATATCAAATTTTTGGAAAACCATTAGAAGTAATGTTAGACAACGGATCAGAGACTAACATCTCAATATTGGTATTGTACAAGATCATTTCGATTATGTAGATAATACTAAACGCCGTCTGTTAAAGGGCATCGGGATAGAAAATTTTTCGACTATTGGAGCAATCACTTTATCAGTATTTGACAAACCAACTGAATTTTTGTTAGTGCCAAGCAATTTTCCTGTACCCTGGAATGTGATACTCGGAGCTAATTACTTCTTGGTCAGTAAGACTACAATAGGGTTAGAAAAACGAAGATTCCTCTCAAACAATCATTCAATTACTTTTACGAAATTAAAAAATTTTGTATATACAGGATTTTGCTCAGTATACAATGTTGAAAGAGAACAACTAATACTAAGAATAATACCTCGTATCAATAACGAATCCTCCAACAGGATCTCAAGAATATCTTCTTATTGATACCGGATCTGAATACAACAATATTAAAAAAAGCTTGTTACCTCTTATTAATGCTATTGATAGTTCACTTATTATTAATTTGAAGGGAATAGGTGAACAAATAAATCTGACTTTAGGAATAACAGAAATAAAATTATTAGGAACTGATACAATTTTTCATATTTTAAAAGACGATTTTCAAATGGATCATGCCATAACTATGGGTGCTTTATATTTAGAGAATACGAAAGCCACTATTGATTTTGAATATATTACTTTTGCTACAAAAAACTTTTTAGTATCATTAATAATAGAAAATAAGATGAATAATAAAAAACCAAACTTTGTTGTTTATAATACACTTACTAATGAAGAGTTTAAGAAAATGCTATAAGAGTTAATACCAATAGAGAAAGTTGAACTACCGTATTTAGCAATACGCCATGTATTCTCAATCGCACAAAAAGAAATTTTTCAGGATCTCGATATTCAAGAATTAGATGATGTATATTTCAATATTGCAGATTTATATATTGAAGAGGAAATTAAACAGTCTAATAAGAAGATAGAAGATTGAGTAGATTTAATTCATATGAATACTGAAGAGAAAGAATATATTATAAAGTTATTAAATGGAACAAGAGACGTATTATACTTACCGGGAGACGAACTATCGAGCACAGATAAAATTATACATGAAATCCCTATGATAGAGGAAATACCTTTAAATGCAAACAGTATTAAATTCCTCAAACAATGAAAGACAAATAGGACCATCATGTGAATAAGTTACTTAAAGCAGGAATAATACGAGAATCGAATTCTTCTTACTTAATCCGGTCTGGATTGTGCCAAAGACTTCAGATGAGAATAGTCGTATGGTACTTGATATGCGAGAACTCAATGAAAAGATGGTTGCTGACTCGTATCCCATTCCAAATATTACACATATTTACACAAATTTTCGACGAAGTAAGAGGAGCTAACCTCTATATCATTCTAGATCTTTCAAATGGATTTTGACAACTGAAGATGCACCGAAAAGTTCATAAAGAAGCTTTAAAACGCCGTTTGGTCAATATCAGTTCGTTTATATACCCTTTGGTTTGAAAAATGCACATTTCAGCCATTAATGAATGTTTTTGTATATTTAGATGATATCGTAAATTTACGCAAATGCCGTGAAAGAACATGATAGAAAGCTTAAAAAATTGGTAGATCGATTGAGGGAAGCCGGTTTGAAGTTACAAATCAGCAAATTTAAATTACTCATGCGCAAAGTAAATTATTTGGGTCACGTTATAAGCTGAAATGGACTTGAAGTTGATCGTAAAAAGGTTGAATTAGTTCAAGATTTTCCACTCTCTAAAAACGTTAAGAATGTACGTGTCCGGCACGTACTTTTCCCACCCTAAGGCGAAATTTGCCAAACTTTAAAGTTTTATATATCAGCGAAAAAGAGTTATAGAATAAAAAACTTGACGCCATTTCAAAGGTAATAGCAAAAGCTTTAAGTAACGTGAAGATAATATTGTTTATATTAGAATTAAGTTTTTAATGCTGTAACGGGGTGAATTAGCTAGTACAACCGGGGTTTATTAAAGAACGAACTCCCACGATGCAGAGCTGACCACCGCTCCGTTAAACACGTATTAGTATACGTGTATTTGCCTTTACGTTTGATAGTTTTGTTCCGATGACTTCTTTTCAACCGAGTTAAGTCACCTGACTTGTGACACTCGATCTATCTTAGTTATGAGTGACCTAATATTTATTCCAACTAATCCTCTAGATTAAATCGGTTTAAAATTTAACTGGTGATAGATCCCTTAAACTAATTGGAAACGAAATAACGTATTCGGCGAATAAAATTAATATCGTTTATGGCTAGAGAATTACAGTCTTTGATGGGCCGAAAAACTAACGCATGCGAATAGGATTTACAATGTTTAACAATAATATGGGGAGAGAGAGAGAATTCAAAATTCTACCGCGAAATCTAACGCTCGGCGTGAAACAAAAATAACAGTCGCGATAGACAAAATATTCTCGTGAAACAGAAGGTGCACCTGCTCTGCGGTGCAATTACGGTGATCAGCCGTAATTGTTGAAGCAAATCGACTGTCGGTACTCCTCAGGAACCAGCTGCGCTGCCTCGCTCACGAACAATTGTTACTCCGACAAATGCTGCTGCTCGCTTGCTGCTGTGTTTTGTTGCTACTGCTAAGGTCTATAATCACTCACGCACGTATCCAAAATATCCCAGGACCACTTTTTATAGCAAAACGGCGAAACGCTGTGAAAACTAATTAGCGGTACTTTCG